GGTGAGACCTCCACGCTGGTGATGGTGAGACCTCCACGCTGGTGATGGTGAGACCTCCACGCTGGTGATGGTGAGACCTCCACGCTGAATACCGTCTCATTCATTATAAATACCTCGGGCAGGAGTGATATTTGTAGTGTCAGTCTTTCTGTTAAAGTCTTTATAACTTGGTGAGAATGATACCAAGAAGATAGTAATGTTATTAAAAACCCACATTCAGTCAGTCCCTGCTCTCAGTAATTTTATTCCTGCACTCCGCCCCACGATTGTCTGGATAACGTTAAGTGGATCTTCCTGGCTGAGCTGAAGAATCAGTGGCTAAACCAAGGTGTGACTTTGGAGAGAAACATGACTACAAATAAAACTCTGCTGGTTAAACTGATTATATACAAACACCAAGGGGAAGAGAGCAGCCTTGTGTGTGTGTGTGTGTGTGTGCGTGTATGTGTGTATTAGATTATATATCACCTTGGGAGGACCAAATGTTCCGCACAATGTAATAAAAAAACTGTTTTTTTTTTAAACATTGTGGGGACCATCTGTCAAGTCCCCACAAAGATCTGTGAATGCATTTAAAAAAGTTAAAATGGCAAAAGTCTTGTAATTTGTTTGGTTACTCATGGTTAAGGTGAGGGCTGGGTAGGGGTTAAGGTCATGGTGTGATTAGAGTTTTCCCCATAGAAATGAATGGAGAGTCCCCACAAAGATATAATTACAGACCCCGTGTGTGTGTGTGTGTGTGTGTGTGAGAGAGAGACAGAGAGAGGGAGAGCGAGAGATTTGTGGGAGTTCCATTAGTAAAGCTGACAGATCTTCCCGTCCTTTTTGTCAGTTCTGCTCCAAAACAAGCCGACGTAGAATAATGAGCTCATCCCCTGCCACCTCTCCCTGGAATGGGGGCTAAAAATGAATGCTGAGTCTTTGCCATTGTAACCTGCCACATTTAAACTAGTTTTTGCCTCCGCTACTGTAACAACAAGTGCAGTGAGTAAAGTTTACACTGCAAAGATTCCCAGGATGATTATTAGCTGTGTATGTATTTAACACAAGGCTGTGTGCACACTGCGGTAGTCGATGAAGCTCTCCGTTTGGGAGTGTATTTGGTTTGCGCTGCTGCCCTTCAACCACTCTATGTAGGTAGTGAATATGTGAAAAGACACAGTCAGAATGCTGAATGACTGGACATCACATCTAACAATCATTATCCTGGTCTGGGGGGGTGGTGGTGGTTGGGTTAATTTAATTACACCAGTTACCAAAATGCAGGATATTCAAACGCCACACACAACCCCCCAGTCCTGGAGGTGTGAAGTCTCTATGCTACCCACCAACTGACCGGCGTTAAGCTGTGTCTTCACCACTGCCGACTGGATACCCGCTAAATCCAGTGCATCGAGCCTGAGACTCTCCTTCCATGTCATTCATCTACATTTTATCCTTTACTTACAGTGTATCGCTGTAGCTGTGCTACATCAACTGTGGCTCCTTGCAGTGGTTCTGTCAGAAGTGTACTGATAATGAAGGCTCTGGTGCACATCAAAGGCAGTTTAATTGGTGGGAAGTTGCAAGGTTTTCTCCTGTTGGATAAATGGTCGAGTATTTTTGTGGTGGATGTGACACAGATTTGACCTGGCTGATTCAGTCTGCCCATCTCAGAGTTATGCCCTTAGTGTGCCCGGGTCATTTTTGGGGTAAATGCCACATTAGTGTGGATTTAGTCTGATGGTGGCGTCGTGTGACTATACCAGCAAAAATATGCTGATTGATAAATTATTCATAGAGTAAGAATAGTTAATGGTTATAGGCTTAGGGATTTTTGAATATATATTTAAATGTATAAAATTGTTCTTCGGTCTTCTGATACTTCTGATAATTTTCCGTTTTGAATGGGTATCTCAATAGAGAATATTCATCATTTCGATCTTATCTTTGTCATTATGAATTACACTCCCCTTTTACAGCTGTGTTTGCTATACAGTTGGATATTTACTGATGCAGATGTTTTCCAGTCTGCTGAAAGGAAGACCAGCTTGCCTATCCACTGTACCAGCTAGTACCTGTTATATTAATAATAAGGCATCAAGGTTTGCCTGATGCTCCTTTGATCGCAAGTTGCTAAATTATGGACTCAAATCAGGCTCAGTTAATTTGATCTGTTGTTCAGGTTGAAGACATAGTCTGCTTCTAATACTCATAGGTCAAGGGCTTGTAGGATGAGGATTATGCAACAGAAACGGTGTGGAATCAAATGTTAAGAGATGGATGTATTTGCTTTGGTTTGGGTCTATGTTGAGGTTGTGAGAGGTCGCCGCTCAATTGTGTAACATGTGACAATAAAAATTATGCTAGCCTTACTTTATATCAGGAATATACCATTAGTCTTCTAAAATATTGAATATCTCTGTTCACCACAATGGATCTGCTGGTTTTATCTACACTGGTACTTGGCCCTGTGGCCTATGGGATGGAGAGTTCCCTCAGTTAACTGGAAACAGGCTGCACAGTATATAGTTTAGCATGTCTTTTAGTCAGGTTAAATCCATACAGGAGTTGCAGTATCTTGTCAGGGTCCTCAGTGTGCCGTGTCTCTGGTGTGACACGTAGCTCAAACCTGAACGACGTTCTCAGGGCGACCAGAAAGTTGACTGAGCGCCGAGCATTGAAAAACGTAGCAGCCCCAGCGCTGAAAATCGTCGGCTGGCTAGCGATCGCTCGTGGCACTCGGTGAATCTTGCTGGCGACCGGGCAGGGCGCATGGCGCGGACTCTGAGAGGAAGCGGTGGGATCCTCGCAAAAAACGGTGAGGCCACCGTGCGCGGACAGAGCTCCGGTGGATCCTCGGCTAAGGAGGGGATGTGGGAGACATGAGCGCGACATCTGAAGTGGAGTGTAGGGGCGTCTTCAAGACACAAAATTACGGAGAAACCCTGGGAGCTCAGCAATCCTACTTGCCAAGGAGTTTGTCTCGTTGCACCTCTGGCCGCTCGGTCAGTCCTACAGGCTGGGCAGAGTAACTTAGCCAGGCTAGACCTGCAGTATTGTTGAGCTGTCACCCTCTCGTGCCAGTTCAGAGAAGAGTAAGCATAGCCTCTGATGCCACACGAGATGCCATACTTTGCCTTCAGCACCTATCCCGCTTCCACGAGCTTCTTCTGCTCCTTGTGGTTTTCAGGTGTGATCCACCCAGCTGAGAGGCCTCAGTGTAGTAGCCTGTATAATGACTTCATTTGATTTCAGAAAAGACCTTGAGGAAATCCTCCCTTCCAGCTGTCAGGGGGAAGCAATAAATTTGTGTTTTTCCTGGATGAATCTTAACATTTGCATTTTTATTTGTCTGTGTTTTGCAGTATTTACCTTTTTACACGTGTATTGATGTATTATTCATTTGTGTGTCTGAGTATAGAGGTAGAGGAGTATCTCCTCTATTTCTGAGATCAATTATGATAATAGTAACTTTGAAATAACTCATTACTATAACTTAATTGTCCTTCAAAATCACATTTTCTCTTTTCTTTGGAAAAATGCAATATTTTCTTCTTCCTATTTTTTTTCAGCCACCACTGATATCTAACGTTATGATATGTAATATTTAACCTAATGTCAAATTATTTAGTTACTAGTGATTGAATATCTGTCTATTCATGGTTTTGGCCTCCCCAGGGAAAGATGCTGTGCGAGGTGATGCCCACCATCAGCGAGGACACGGCGGCCGGCCAGCGCGGCTCCCAGAGCAGTGCCTCGGACCCGGACTCGCATTTCGAGCAGCTGATGGTCAACATGCTGGACGAGCGCGACCGGCTGCTGGACACGCTGCGCGAGACGCAGGAGAGCCTGGGGCTGGCTCAGCAGCACCTACAGGACGTCATCTACGACCGCGATTCGCTGCAGAGGCAGCTGAGCTCCGCCCTGCCTCAGGTAAGCCCTGCCCACATCACAGTCCTGTTATATATCCCTACACTGTCAGCTCCTGGAATTGCTTCCTCTCTCCCCCCCCCCCCACCACTTTGGACTCCCTGGAGCTAGAGCATGTGCTGATTTTTTGTCCCGGTCGAGTCTTTAAATTTTGCTTTGCTTATTTAAAGGGCTTGCAGCCATTTAAATCCTGCTAAACTCAATGTGTTAACTGAGAAGTCAATACGTTTCGGTTGTTAAACCACATTTTATTAGAAAATGGTTACAGGAGCGTAAAAAAAATCTTTAGCTCTCCGCTTCAATCCCACCCAGAATAAATTAGACTTGAACTTTAAAAGTCACCCTCAGTATCTGCATCTAGGGCTAAGAATGAGTGAGTAAATAATTGATTATTTGAGAAAATGAACGCTGAGGTTATGTCATTTATTGGAAACATCTTTTTATTCTTCTGTTTTACTATTGGTGTTAATGCATGCAGTGTGACATGATCCCCAGTATATGGGGACAGGAGTCAGTGGTCTGTTTGCATTACGTTTTTGTTCAATTAAAGGGAAATGGTTAATTAGGTGAAACTTAACAGTGAAAGCCAGTGTACCCTGACCCTGTGTGGACTTGACAGTCACAATCTAGAATATTCCAAACTGCAAGTCCATTTTCTCGTTTTGTCTTGCCGCCTTGCTGCCTATCATGGTGCTGGATGATGTCATTAGCGGTGGGCAAAAGGCAGGTCATGTGACCTCTTGAAAAAGCCATCTTTCGGCCAATGTCCTTAATGACACGGCTGTGCAAGAAGACAGTGCTGAAGTAGCATCAGGACTGATGGAAGCGTGTAATTTTCTCTGTATTTCTCTGGAGTGCATGCTTGCCTTGGCGTGTATTAATCCATGGAAACATGGCAGATGTCTGTAAGACACTTTTACAGCTTCGTGTAGATAACTAAAGGCGGTTCCGGAACTATTTCTCTATCAAGGGGTTTTCTCCACGTAACCAAACAAACCGGAAGCAATTTTCACACCTATGTGGTTCATCCATGTGATCGCTAGAGGAGTTGTCAACACTAGTGGGTGTTTCTCCACGAGTTTCACCGTTCTGTGCAAAGGCGCCTACATTAAAATATGACCAACTGATTATTTTCCAGCACGCTATAATCAAAGTACTGTTTAATATCTTCCATTGAATTTTGCATAAAGTCTAAGAAAAGCACCAAAATGTGTGCCAGTGCATGTATGTGTTGTGTATATATCATTTTATCAATGGCGCAGTATTTCAATGCAGTTCCAGATCAGGTGGCATGGGGCTCTTCGGTATTTGGTTTCATTTATGTATTTTTAGTATAATGTTCATCCGAGAATGTCCTGCTATGGCCTGATGTTCTGGTCCGGCTGTGCCCAGAACAGCCAGCCTCAGATTGCGGGTCGCGACCTAGAACCGCGTCAAACGCTCACTCGGCTCATCATTGGTGAGGCAAGTTACGCGTGTGGTGACAGTACAAGGGTGTGTGTCCCTCCCTTGTCACTTTTACAACAAAGCCCCCCCTTTTATAGATGTTGTTTGTGCTGCGACTGTTCCATTAATTAATGTGGCGACACCAATTAACCTGGGTGATTTCGCTGCCGCGCGACTCCTCTCCGGGGCCGTAGCAGACAAGCAGGAGCTCCTGCAAGCTGACGGAAGCTTCTGGGAGGTTTCTGCGGTGTCCACACACGTGGGAATACGTGCCGAGCAATTAGTCTGAGAGCGACCATCAATCTCTGTCTAGGTTTGTTAAAAAATTATACATTATTCTTCATAATTAATCTCTAATGTGGTGCAGCAGTGTTCCGTTTACAGCAGAGCCCCCATATTTGCAACGTGAAAAGTTCCGAGACCTACTGCAGATACCAAAAAACCATGGATAGTAGCAAATGCCACATATAACATACCTATCATAAAGATTAATTTATAAATTACACACAATAAGACATCAGCAGCAATAACTAAACATAAAACAATTCTAATAATATACTGTAATAAAAGTTATGTGAATCTGGTCTCTGTCTGTCTGTCTCTGTCCCTCAAATGACTGGGATCCTGACGTTTTCGCTTAACCCTCGACGAACAATAAGGTGACATATTAAGCACGATAGGGCGGAAAGGCTACACAGAGTGCCGCAGAATTTAAAAGTTATGTACCGTTTATTTTTGGAATATTCCACAATATTTTTGGGCCATGGTAAACCGCAAGTAACTGAGACCGTGGCTGCCAAATCAGCAGATATAGGGGTTCCACTGTAAGTAATTGTTTTAACGAGATGAGGAAAATCCACTTTTCGGAGGTCACCATACTGACTGTGGCCGGTACCTACAGTATATTATTCAGGCTGTATGTGAAGCTGAGAATGTGGCCTATTTTAAAAAACGCTGGATGACGCATCCATTCGGCAAGGTGTGACATCATTGAAATGTCACAACAGTCATTCAGGCCTTAGGTTCGGGCACTTTACACTATTGGGACGCCCCCCTCTTGCTACTTGCTGTCCATACCTCACGCCGTGGTCCTGGGGGAACGTCACCTTCTACTTCTGTATAGCTGTACATGGATGGAATGGCAATGAAACCAACTTCCCTTGACAGTGTATAGAGAGAAAGGGCTTAGGTGTGGTTCCAAAATGGGTAGGGACCAAATCAGGCCCCGCCCCCTAAACACAAACGGAACTCCCGCAATGTCGGTAGGGATACGCCCCTACCACCCATATCCAATCCTACGCCCTTGCTAGACAGTATATCATTCTGGCAAGACTGTGAAAATGGTCTTTAGATAGTGGTAAAGGCCGTAGCGGAGAGAGGAAGCTGTGATTGGCTGAGCAGCTGCTCCAGATCCCCCCCCCCCCCCACTCGGCCCAGCCTTCCCATCATGCCCTGCGGCTCCGTGTGACTCATCCCGGCGACTTGCGCTCGGGGCGCCTCCTCGCACTGTGACAGCCCACCCCGGGAGCTTGAGGCATGACTGCCTTTCCGTGCTTAAAAATAAAATCAAATGTATGTCTTGGCTCCGTTTTGTTGGAGACGCGGTCCAGGTGGGTGGTGTCGGGAAGCAGGGGCTCGTGCTGGGAGCCCCCCCTCGGCTCGCGTCCTTCCAGCGCGGCGCCGCTCTTCCTGCTCCGCTTGGGCTGCGGCCCATCGCAGCCAAGGCCGTCTTCGTTAGATGCCAGGCGCTGCTCGGTGAGGGACGGCCACCCGGTGCTTAGCCCCACCCATTAGCGCTCGCTCCTCTCGCCCATCCTCTTGCCGGTTTGTCGGGTCCTTTTTTCCAGTCCAATACTTGATATCTCCTTCTTGTTTGTCTCCTTCGATGAATAGACGGTCTCGTGGGGCCTTTTTGACCTTGAGCTGCATGGAGGACCCCGTCAGGCCCTCCTGGGCTGCACCATGGTACCTCTGCCATGCCGTTTGACTTCAGCACTGTGTATTTCTGCCGCTGAGCTTTTCTCCCTTCCCTCTGGCACTTGAATTAATGAGCTGCAGTCCTCAGCTGGACAGGGATGATTTACCTGTTCGTATCAATTGCAAACGAAGGACATACTGAAAGCTAACCTTCTGTTTACATCTGAGATATGTCCGTCTTCCTTGTATCCATCTGTCTCTGAATTGCGTGCGTATAGCATGATGAATCCCCACCCGCTTTGCTGCATTGATGTGCAGTGTGGCTGGCACTGTGGCTCAGTGAACAGTGCTGGTGCCTCAATATACCCCTAGTGTGTGATTGTGTGGGTCAGCAGGTACCCTGCGACGGACTGGTGCCCCCTGCAGCGTGTACCCCTGTCTTGAACCCTGTAGCCTTCCTGTGACCCTGTATGTTTAGTTGTTTTCTTCAAAATGCAAAATAAGCACATTGACATGGATATCTTGAGTTGTTGGGGGGTAGTTTTGATGGAAGGTGAAAATGAAAGATGCGTTCTGCATACTTACTGGCTACTGGTTTCCTCCAACTGTATAGTGCTATGCTTTAGTCTAGTGTTTCCCAAACCAGTGCACAGGGCACACTGGATGGAGCCACATTTCTGTGTTATTCCCGTTACGCCTGTAAGGTTTTTAGAACTCCTGATTGCTTGGGTCAGGTGTTCTGGGAACTGGGATAAAACAAAAATAATCCAGTTTGCCCCGAGGACTGGTTTGGGAAACACTGTTCTAGTCGCCAGTTCTGTTTGTGCTGGTTATTGGTTCGATGCCTGTTATAATCATGGGAGGGGGGGGGGCAAGTTTTAACATTTTAAATTCCATTAAAATATTAAGGATTTAGTGTAATTGGTCCATGTCTCCATACAGCCATCCCTCTGCCATCTCACACTGCCCCCCCCCCCCCAGACCCAAGCCACAGGTTCTACCTTAAACAAAGTGATTTTTCTCGCCAGACCTGAGCAAATATTGTGGCTTGTGAAGAACAAGCGTCTTGTTTGTTTTCCTTCCCTGGTAAACAGAGCACAAAGGCGCGATTGATAGAAGGAGCGTTATAGAGGGGGGAAGGTTCTCTGGTATTTTAATGTGTTCCAATGAAATCCATATAATCTAATACTTTAAAGAGTAACGCCTGTTTGTTAACGGCATTAAGGAGCCTGCTAGCGTGATCTGGCAGCGTTTAAGCAGGAAAAGGCCGTTTAAACCACGTATGCAGTACAAATAGAAATGAATTTCGAATGGACAATGAGTGTTCCCCTTTCTCGGGCTTGCAGCTGGCTGTAATTAAGGGTTGCATTTGTAACTTTGGAATTCTTTGAAGGGTCTATAAATAGTTCGGATGTCACATCCTCTCTGTGTCAAATGGTATGTTCTGTTCGAAGGCTGACGAGGAGAACTGACAAGCTGGAGCCTCGGTGCATCTTGACTCCATGCGGATACAGTGTCTGCCAGTTAGAACATCTCCTGTAAGGAAAGGGCAGTTCATTGACAGTGGTTTTCATTCTCGCCAGTGGAAAGTCTCTTTTTCAGTCTGCAGTGAATGTGTGTTTGTGTGTGTGTGTGTGTGT